AGGTCAGGTCGATAAATGAGAACACGGATGGTCGGAGAAACGTTATTTTTAACTGCTGCTCCAGCCGGCTCTTTCGTACTCCTTGTGTCCGATAGGAAACGACGTCTAGTCCACGACCACGAGGAAAGTCGGGAAGGCGCCGCAAAGGAAACAAGAGTAAGCCGAGCCGCGAGATTAGCCGCAGCTTAGAATTATTAACGCGTTACGTTGGTCGCTGAATCGGTCGAACAAACGTATGGAATTACGCTGACTGTGCCAGCTTTCGTCCACGTATCGGAATACAAGGAATGCCAGGGTTGCCGTGCGAACGTTCAATCGCGAAGCAGGCGTGACATAGGTCAACGAGCTCTCGAATCGAGTCGCTAGTTATTTTTAAATATCGACGTCCACCGAACGTACCTTTGCTCTGGCCGACCTTCGCGTTCATCCCACGAGGAAGGAAACGCCTCCGTCCGGCTACCGTCGGCCTGCACCAAGCTAACGTGGCTTAAATCGTTGACGATCGGTAACTCGCACTATCCACGGTTAACCTCGTGGGCGATCGGTAACTCGTAACGTCCACGGTTAACCCGGTGGACGATCGAGTGCGTGGTCGAGGACGTGAGTCGGCAGACCTGACCTATCGGAACGCGATAACGGCGACCTATCGATCGCAGCTCGATGTCCGGCGAGAAATTGAACTCGCCTTAGCCGAGCTTCGATCATGCCAGCGAGTTAAACTTTCCATCGATCGACCCCTCGCGCCGAATCCTATCGAGTCGAACGTGATTTTGGCTTCCTCGGTGGTCTCGAAGTCGACTCTCTCGAAATGGCAAGAATTCTTTCTACTCGCAGAGGGGAAGAATCTTTCGGAGGGGAAGAAACACGCGTTCCCCGTAGCCACAAATAACAAACGCCGCATCGATTTTCACGCAGCTTTTCTCTGTGCTTGGAGAGAGGTCAGAGAAGAGGGAGACCGAGTGGTGCGAGTTTGTAGGTTCAGGTTCAAGGTCGCGGCAGCAGGAACCAAGATACGTGTGCGTGCGAACGTGAGTACAGGCCGTAGCGAGCGGTGGACGAGGAGGAAGCCCGGTCGATGCTGGAAAACCTCTTTCCTTCCACTTTTCCCGACGACGATGGCGCAGCGCCACCTCGGCCACATGCCAGCCACCCCTTTCTCGCTTC